AGGAAGAGGGCCCCAGGCATTTGCAGTTTAAAAGTCTTTTGTAGTTCCAGCAGGACTGGGGTGGGTTCGAGGGTGCTCCAGCCTGTGTCCACCCGGAGTGGGCAGGCCCTGGGAGGAAGCCGAGGCCCCTGGCAGGCACCGTCTCCCCTCCTCGCTGAGTGAGCAACGCCCTGAAGGAGTGGCCGCGGCTGCCGCCGCCCCCTGCCTCACCCTCTCCGGGCCGGCTGGTGTGCTCCGAGGGCCTGGAGGGTGCGGGGCTCCGCACTGCGCTCTGGAGCTGGTTAAAGCCAGGTGTGGCTCCAGATGCTGACGTTAGAGTCCACAGAACCTTGAGTAAGTGGCTCGCCAGTTGTTCGGCGCCTCAGGTGCCCTACCTGTACCATGCTAGTAATAGCACCATGTTCGTAGCGTTCTGGAAAAGATTCAAAAAGAGACCCCACGCTAAGACGCTGTTGCTCAGGTCCTGGCTCTAGGAAGGGGCATGAAGTCCAGGTGTGAGCATAAAGGAGGGAACCTGCTTCGGGTCCCCGTGCCCGAGATGCGAGTCCAGCAGAGAGTGACTTCTGTGAGTGCTGCCCAGCTGGCTCTGAGCCCCACGGCAGCAGGTGGTTGGCAGCGGGCGGATCAGGCTGAGGGCCTGTGCCTTCTCCACGTGGGTTCTTCTAGACCTTCAAAATACCCCACTGCCTTTCTTTTTTTTTGTCTTTTTGAGACAGGGTCTCACTATGCAGTTCAGCCTGGCCTTGAGCTCACTTTGTAGCCCAGGCTGGTCTTGAACTGATAATGACCCTCCTGCCTCAGCCTCCTGAGCACTGAGATTACAGGCATGCGCTGCCACACCCGGCCTCCCCATTGCCTTTTGCCCCCCCATGGGGAGAGGCTGCTCCCTTTCCTTCCCACCACCGGGGCTTCCTCCCGGCTCCCCACCGGGTTGGTCCCAGGGCTGTCAGAATGCGGACTGGGGCGTGGGCCCCTCACCTCTCAGGGAGCTGCTTGGGAACTAGCTCCTTTCCTTCTGCGGGGTGGAGGAAGAGCAAATATTCTTGGATATATTTTGTTTCTGTTTCTTGTAGATAGGGTGTGGACGCGGGTGTGAAATTACAACTGAGAAGGCCCCCACCCTTGGGCAGAGAAGGCTGGGGGCCGCGCCCTGGAGAGGACATAAAATTATTTTGCAAGGCCTGTTTCTCCTTTTCTGTTCCCTTTGGAAAGTGGGTTTTTAAATCTGTAACTTGGGATTTGGGGTGTAGATCGCCTAGCGCTTGCCTGGCAAGTACGAGCTTCGCTCTCTAGCATCACAAAAATAAAATGAGTAAACAGATGAGCAAATCTGGAGCTTTCAGCCGCCACTCTGGAAGGTGTAGTCATAATCGCGACAGCAGCAGTAGCACCTCCCTCCGAGGACTCCAGCTCAGCGCTACAGACACCTTTCTCGTTGATCAGCCCTCCTGGGGGGCCTGATGTTGACGTGGGAGACAAGAAGGGAATAAAGTCAGAGGCTGCTCCATGTCCCTGTTCTTAACTATGACTATTGCTTGTCATCATATTTATGCACTGCCACTCTGTGAGCTGGGGCATCTGACTACCCCTTCCAGCCTCAGTTGGCTGACCTGTAAAATAGGGATAATAACAATGTGCCCTAGGATTCCTGTGAAGATTAAATGAGATAATGCCAATACTCTAGAAATAGAAGTTTCTATTATCATTACTCTTGTTTTGTACATTAGGAATATCCTGACATGCTACTGTAAGTAGTGAACCCTCAGCACTCAGGAGGCTGAGGCAGGAGGATCACTGCGAGTTCGAGGCCAGCCTGGGCTACAAAGTGAGCTCAAGGCCAGCCTGAACTGCACAGCAAGACCTAGTCTCAAAAGAAAAAAAAAAAAAAAGAAAGGAATGTGGCTGATCTGAATTGACATTGTCTATGAGTATAAAATACACTTCGATTTTGAAAGGCAGTACCAAAAAAGAAGTAAAAATACAGTACCAAAATATTTAAAAGTTCAATTGTATGTTGAAATGATGATGTTTCGGATATACTGGCGAGGTGACCAACTTGTTCTGGTTTGCCTGGCCTTAAAGTCCTGCCTCCCAGGAAATGTCTATGTCCTGGGCAGAGCAAGACTGCTGGTCACTTTAATACTGAATTAAAGATATTACTGTAATTTAACCTGTTTCATTCTACTTTTTTTTTGGTGTTATTTGTGCAGTTCAGGCTGGCTTTACTCACTATGTAGCCTAGGCTGGTCTCAAATGTGTGGCAGTCCTCTTGCCTCAGCCTCCTAGGAGCTGGGATTACAGGAGTGTGCCACTGCACTGGCACCAAGGAACATACCCTCTCCCCCCAGGCTGCGGGGCTCGCTTCAGTGCGTGAGGCTATATGCCTGAAAAAAGTGTACAAATGTAGAACAGTTACGCTGAACCCACAACTGCAGGCCTCCTCTGGGCAACCCCAGGGCTGGAAGCCCATGCACCCATCCTGCTCACCCCTGTTTCTCAGGAGCCTGTCTGCCTTGACCCCTCCACAAGCCTGGGTTGGGAGCCCCCTTCCGTCCCAGGACACCCTAAGCCTTTTTATTTTTATTTTTTGAGACAGGGTCTCGCTATGCAGTTCAGGCTGGCCTTGAGCTCACTTCGTAGCCCAGGCTGGTCTTGAACTTGCAATGATCTTCCTGCCTCAGCCTCCCGAGTGCTGGGATTACAGGCGTGCGCCACCACGCCTGGCTCTACCCTAAGCCTTTTTAATGGACTTGGCTTCCAATTCTGACCGTGCTGTGTAGCCTGGGCAAGCTGCTTAACCTCTCAGTTAACTCTTGTCCGACGTGCTTAGCACAGTGCTCGGCACAAGCACATAGCAGCTCCTGTATAAATGCTGGCGATTACTTGTCATTATTCAGGCACTGCATAGCAGAGTCCTGGCTTGGACACAGTCCTCCACTGTGTGCTAGTACCTTGCACGGAACCTGCATGACACACAGTAGGTGTTTGTACATGGGGTGGTAAGCAGAATGATGGCCCCCAAGACGTTCCCACCCTAATTCCCAGGACCTATGAATAGTACCCTGTGTGATGAAGGGGAATGAAGGCTGCAAAGGGCATTAAAGTCGCTCATCAGCTGACTTTAAGGTAGGAGATCAACCTGCACTGACCCACTGGCTCAGCATAATCAAAAGGGTCCATAAAAGTTACAGGAAGATGAGACTGGGGGAAGCAGACATGACAGCGTCAGAAGGACTCTGCACATGACGAAGGACTGGATCGCAGCCCACAGCGTGCGGGCAGCTTCTAGAAGCTGGAAAAGACAAGCAGACAGATTCTTTCCTGAAGATCCAGGAAGCCAATTATTTCAGCTTAGTGACAGCCATGTGGGACATCTGTGGAATTGTAAGATAAGAATTTTTTTTTTTTTGGTCTTTTTTGAGACAGGGTCTCAGTATGCAGTTCAGGCTGGCCTTGAACTCACTTTGTAGCCCACGCTGGTCTCAAACTCACAATGATCTTCCTGCCTCAGCCTCCTGAGTGTTGGGATTACAGGTGTGCACCATGACACCTGGCAAGAAATTTTAATTTTATTATATATTTTTTGTTTTATTTGAGACAGGGTCTCACTATATAGTTCAGACTGGCCTTTAACTCGCTGTGTAGCCCAGGCTGGCGATCCTCCTGCCTCAGCCTCCTGAGTGCTCTGATTACAGGCATGCACCACCATGCCTGGCTTTTTAATTTTGTTTTCAGAAATTTGTATTTTTAAAAGACACTAGGATTTAGGTGCACAGGGTGGAGCCTGCCTAATCCCAGCACTCTGAGGCAGGAGGATGGCAAGTTTGACCAGCCTGGATGACTTAGCGATTCAGCAAGAATTTGTCTCAGTCGGGCGTGGTGGCGCATGCCTGTAACCCTAGCACTCAGGAGGCTGAGGCAGGAGGATCGTGAGATTGAGGCCAGGCCGAACTGCACAGTGAAATCCTGTTTCAAAAAGACAAAAAAAGAACTTGTCTCAAAATAAAACAAAAACTGGGCCGGGGATATAGCTCAGTGCACAAGTGCCCGCCTGGCAAGCGCAAGGCTGTGAGTTTGATTCCTGGTACCAAAACAAAACAAAACAAAACAAAACAAAAACCCCACAAAAACCCAAGAAACCCAAAAAGGAATGAAGATGTAGCTCAATGTGAAAGTCTCGGTTCAATCCCTAGGGCCCCCTCCTCCTGTCCGGTCCCCGTAAGACATGGCCTGGATAATTTGTTACGTCAGCTATAGCTGACTGATTGCAAACATTATTATTAGGTACTGGGAGTGAACCCAGGGCTTTCTTTCTGAGCTACAGCCTCATTCCTTATTTTATTTTATTTTATTTGATTTTTTATTTTGAGCAGGGTTTTGATAAGTCGTTCAGTTGCCCAGGCTGGGAGAGAACTTGTGACCCTCCTGCCTAGTGCTAGGAGTACAGGCGTGTGCCGCCACACCCAGTTTACTGTTCACTTTTATTACTCCTGCTGCACTTTGTGATAACTGAACAGCAGGCTGTGCACTCCTGCGTCAGAGCGAGAGCTCAACAAAAACTTTACTAATCCTATAGCGGATGATGGACGCTTCCCCACCGGCTCTGCTGCTCCCCAAGTCACGGTCCCTGCCTAGTCTGTGCAGGCCCTGCCTCAAGTCTTCTCGCTCTGGGGCCGGCCGGGGGACTTTCTCCTTAAGCGGCCGGACATCCTGCCTGCCAGGGGTGGTGGGAACAGAACGTCGGTCCTCCGAGGACCTGCCGGCTGCGGGGCGCAGTACCCTCTTCCTGCGGCAGGGGGCGAGCGTGGTCCAGGACCGCCTGCTGCAGGGTCGGCCGGGGCGGTGCTTCGGGGCGGGGCGGCTGAGTGCGCAGGCGCGGGGGCCGAGCGCCTCG